TACTGCCTCCTGTCAACATTGTATACTTCTATTTGATGATTTCTGTGTCAAACATTATATGGAAATGTTTCCAAGTATTTTATTATTTTCTGTATTAACTGTGAATGAATAGAACAAAATAAATTGCCTGTGATGGAAAAAAAAATAATAAAATAAAAATAAAAATGACTTAAAAAAAAAAAAGAAAAAGAAAATCGCACCTGGCAGCTAACTTGCCAAGAATCTGGTGAATCCCAGATACTAAAAGCTGCCAGGCCAGGCCAGTCAAGTATGGATGATGGTCAGGTTGCTAGTTAGAAATTAGCAGGCTTGAGGGGCATGGGGGAGAGTGTTCTCCTCCCAATCATCTTCTGCCCCCTCTCCTGCATTCAGAGATGTGCACTAACTTCAGGGAAGTGGGCAGTATCACAACTGCCCCTTCTTAGAACCTGAAACAATGTGTGAAAGGAGGAAGGAAATATAATTGCCTCTTAAGGTTTGTGTACCACATGAAAGGAGGAAGGGGGTAAGACATCTGGACTTTGCTGGGGCCCTTTGAAGGAGAGCTGTTTCCTTCTGGTTATTTTTATAACAACATTTTCATTTCTTTGTTCTTTTAAATATACTTTGTTATATGACTTTTTTTCTTTTGGGCCAAAAGTATGGGATAGGAATTGTACCTCTGGACTTCGATAAAGATGTGACATGCTAAGCAGCCTCCAAGTTTAAAACATCCAGTAGAGACTTTCTGGTAAAACACAAATGCACAGTACTACCCCCATTCTTGAGGGTTAATTGAAAGGGATCTGTCAGTAACTTACCCAAGTGATAATGCTTCAGGAAATCTGTTTATTCCAGAGACTCTAGGAAATGGCTCAGTCGTTAAAGTGCCTGCTGAGCAAGCCTGGGGATCTGATCCCCATGGAAAGACAGATGTGGTAATGGGCTCTTATGGTAAGATGGCTGGAGGAAAAGCTCACAGGCCAGCAGATGAATATTTGAGGCTGTTCTCTGACCTCCACACACATGCTACGTGGCAAGTGCACCTGTATGTCAACATACATATGCATACATATATCATGTATAAATACACACACATTGAGATTTTGAAGAAGAGAAAATAGTGTGTATGTTGATGTAATGTTCTCTCTGGTCATGATTACTCTCACACTCTGAGAATGTTCTCTGCAAGAATCCCTTCTGCTTTGGCATCTCTTAAATGGACTTTCCTTCCCTTGGCAATCAGTTCTGTGTCTATCATTCTGTGTATCTTTTCTGAATTCATTTGACTGAGAAAGTGGGGGTGGGAAAGCTAGAGAGAGAACTCTCAGATTTCATTCTTTTGACAAAGCAGATGTAGCTTTCCCTTTATGAGACTTAACAAAGTCCTGATGCTGCTGTCTTTTCATAGAATATTTTAAATCCTAAGGAAGGGCGATTGTGAAACTCCCCTTTCTAGAGTAACCAGGTAGATGAGCTTTGCTCCTGTTGCTGTGATAAAATACTCTGACAAATGAGACTTAAGAAAGAGTTTATTTTGTTTTGCCATTCCAGGCTACAGTGTCTTTACAGAGAACCCCAGGCAGGAACTTGAAGCAGCTAGTCACATCCGCAGTCAGGAGCAGAGAGAGATGAGCACATAGCTTATTGTGCATAGCTTGTCTCTACAGGTCTACAGTCCAGGACCCACATTCGGGGAATGGTGTCAAGTACAATGCGTAGGCTTTCCTACATCAGTTGTGTCCATTGACAATTAAAATGTACCCCCAGACTGGGGAAACTGGAGGGAATGTCCAAAGTGGGTCTTGAGGGAATTGTTCATCCTCAGGGAATTACAAGCCTGCTTGCTTATTCTTGTAACACCCTCCTTTTAAGAGTTGCGACCCCAAAATCATTTAGAAGATGGGTTGAAATCAGGCCACAGATGAGTTTAGCTTCTTCTTTCTTGTTGACTTTTAAGCATCAGAGAAAGATCGAGGGAACCCAAACAGATGGAGTTACACTGTCACAGGACCCTCTTTGAGTGTGGATTAACCAGAAACTAAAGAAGATCAAATTAAAACAGCAGTTGAATACACAAGGCTCAAAGACTAATAGCCCCAAGAATCCAGAGATTCTGTCTCAAAGCTGTTCATCAGAAGGCATGGTGGTGTCTGAGAGAAGACACTGTCATACCCTTATAAACAGCTTCTGGAGGCAGATGTGTAAAAGAAGAAAAATAGCAAGGAATCAGGGTAGTAATGAGAACATAATTCTGGCATGTCGGGTTTGTGTCCAGGATAGAAATAATGATATTTCCAGTTTCTAGCCAAGAACAAAAATCAAGGTCCCTGTCCCTGAACTGCAGGAACAATTTCTATTCCCTGCTCACATCAGAGACACTTTATAAACTTTACAGTCCTATATAAATGCTAATTATCTCCATTAACACAATCATTAATTTCTGATTAGGAAATAACCTGACAAGAATGGTTTATTTCTCTTTCTCTGGAGCCCAAGCATAGACCTTTAGCATGCCTTGGTTCCCAGTGAATAGAGAAGAGAAGATGCTTGCCCTTACATTTGCATCTTGATTGGATGTTCCTTCCACAACATCCACACAATTAGCTAATTAAATACGATCTCTTGATGATTTGGAGACAGTAATGCTAAATCAATTATTGTTTGGTCTTAGGCATATTCTCAGGAGAGTTAAAGAAGACACTCCGTGGGGGTCAATTTACTATTCTTTCATTTCCCTCCCTTCCCTCCCAACCTCTTTCTCCTTTTCCTCTTCCCCTTTTCTCTTCTCCTTTCATCTTTCTTCCTTCTTCCTCCCTCTCTCCTTAGCCTTCCCTCCTTTTTTTCCTATTCTGATATCTTTAACATTTCCAACAACTCGGGAACAGATGAGAGTTTATGTGCTTTATTTGCCAAAACAAACAAAAAGAAAGAAAACAAAAATCTCTCTACATTTATTCTCATTTCATGAAAGAAAGACTGTTTCAACCCTTTCTTCAAGATTGGAAGAGCACAATAAGAGATTTTGTTGTTCTGTTTTTCTTTTGAAAATGCTGTTAAAAAATGTGCTAAAATCCTTCTTGTGTCCTGTGAAAGTCTAATATTTTTAAGACTAACAGGGTCTGTATGTCAGCATTTGAAATAAGTTACTGTAGTATTCTGCGTAGTGATGCTCCAGTCAGGAACAGATCGCAGAAGTTACATTAGGCTACGCCGCCCAGTAACATGATAGCCACTGCATTCTGGGTAAGTATACTTACGTACTGATAAAATTGCTAATGAAGCCTTTCTTAGGCTATACCCTCGCCATTAGCCAGCACATAACCACACACGGATAACTCAGTCTTCTGAGCCATCTCTCAATCCCAGAATCCCTTCACATCTTCTCTCATATGTCTACGCGATACCATCTTCAGAAACAAGGACAGATGAGGTAATAAAATTCATATTCCCAGAAGCTAGTAACTATTATTATGGCACTTCCTGGAGTAATTGATTTCTTACTGCAGTGGGCATTTGACAGCCAGACTTCTCTCCTTGCATGCCTTCAACATAGACATAGAAAGAAAACCACTTAGGATAATGGAATAAAGCAGACATTAGGATCTGCAAGCATATGTGCATTTTTCCATAACAATGCAGAGTAGAATTAAGGCATTTAAATCAATTGCACATGTATTCACCATATAATTTAATTAGCACTTATAGAAGGTACCGTAGTAACAGCTCCTATTATAGTGTTTCCATTACAAATAATTACAAACGAAAAAAAATTTTTTTGTAGCATTAGGGTTGGTGTTCCCTTTGTGTAATCACAAGAGGACAATTTATTTAAAAGCTTCACTGACGTCATGCACACAATAGTTATTTACCATTTCAGCCAAATGCAGTGAATGATATTTGCCAAGGGGAATATTGTTTGCCACTGTCGTACTTCATATTCTTTAATTTAAGTATCTACAATGCCCATAGAGCTAGCTAATTATGGTCTACTTAAGCTATCTGATTTTCAAAAGAAGAAGGAATTTTGATGAAAAGTGGAGGGAAACTTTAGTCTTTGTGTAATAATGACAACAACAGACAGCAGCTGTTGGCTAGGTAGCTAGAATAAACATTTATGATATCTCTTCTCCTTAAAACAATGCAAGTAATGTTTGTTTCACTTGCTAGAAAACTGAAAATCAGACAGGACCTTGTATAAACTGTACACAGTTAAGTTAAAGGGACCAGCATGTAAAGTTGTGTCAAAGTGCCAATAATACTCCCAGCGCAGAAAAGTGCCTTGACTAAAGCAGTGCCTTGGTGTAAATTCTAAGTGGAAACCCACAGGGACTTGTTCCTGTGGTTCTTTTTAAGGAGAGCTGATGGTATCTAAGTTATGTGCAACTATGTGTCAATGATCCCCTAAACAATTACATGAACTTAGAACAATTCAGTTATTTCCTACTGAAAAACATTTCTGACTCCCTTAGTTAGAGCCAACAAAACTGAGTTGCTTCGTTCTTTATAAGGAAACACAACTTTTTTTTTGCGGGGGGGGGGGGGGGGTCAGAGACCAAGGTACAATCAGAAGACTTCTGGATCACTCACAATATAACACCACAGGGAACTCTGTTCACATAAAGTAACATTTAACCTTGAAAGCAACTTATAGAAGAAAGAGTTTATTGGGGGGCGGGTGTGTGTGTGTGTGTTACAGTTTCAGAGGGTGGGTCCATGATTATCACGGCAGGAGCATGGCAGCAGGCAGGAAGAGCAACAGGTGAGAACTCACATTTGTATCTGCAAGGAGGAAGCATAGCAAGGCACACTGGGAACTAACAGCTTTTCAAACCTCAAAGCCCCAGTGACAGGCACACCTTCTCATCCTTCTCCAAAAGTTCCACTAACTGGGGACCAAATGTATGAGTCTATGGGGGCCAATCTCATGGGAAAATAAAAACAAAAACAACAAACAAACAACCACAACAACAAAATAGCAGCAGCATCAATAAAAAATAGCAGTTACTTCTTATTTCACCTTCCAAATATTTTAATGACTTCCCAAAGCATAGTAGGGCTCACTTTAATCCATTTATTCAAGAGAACACCAATTTGTTAGATAAACGCACTGGTGTGTTTTTGCTGGTACTTAGAAACGTATAAAAACAGTCAGCTTTACTTAATGGAAATTCAGCTTTACTTAATGGAATTACCACGTCAGAGCCGGCGAGGGCTTGTGGTTGATCTTACACCTGTACAAGCAAGGGATTCCCCTCTGTTCCTTGATAAACCAGCACTTGAGCAGACTGGCCAGGAAGTTTCCTGATGTGAAATTTATCAAAGCCATTTTAACGACCTGCATCCCCAACTACCCCGATAGGAATCTGCCCACGGTGTTTGTCTACCTGGAAGGGGACATCAAGGCCCAGTTCATTGGCCCTCTGGTGTTCGGCAGCATGAACCTGAGGAAAGATGAGTTGGAGTGGAAACTGTCGGAGTCAGGAGCAATCAAGACAGACCTGGAGGAGAACCCCAGGAAGCCGGTTGAAGATGTCTTGCTGTCCTCAGTGCAAGGCTCTGTCCCCATGAGAAGGGACAGCGATTTCGAGGGCGACTAAGATAACAGCCACTGTACCTTTTTGAACTTTTTTTTTTTTTTT